ATTTTAACACATTGCGTATGGCACTCTGCTCGCTCAATGCGCTACCAGGGCCCGCGCATTTTTGAACTTGTGGCCGGGTTACGAGATATCTCGTGACTCGGCCGCAACGTTCGGCTTGCTAAAAACGAGATATCTCATGACCCGTGTTCTCGTGATCAATGTGTTAAGAAGGGCGGTTAAAAACGAATAGTCAGCCTCGTGATTGGTCGATAGCTGTCCAATACGGTCGGGTGAAAACGGAAAATTTCTAATTGCCGTGGAGATGGAAAAACATGCTGTATGCCCGTGTGCACGTTGCGCGCACGTGTTAGCGGTAATGTTAAAGAAGGTATGACGGTAAAGAATAGGGACGGTCAACCCGAGAAAATTCTAAATAACCCTAAACCTTCGCGATAGGGCGTACGGGGCAATATAATCGTATCGTAGAAAACTAAAATTTACAAACGGATTTCGGAGTCAGGAAATTGCTAAATTGATAAATGGTCCGATGGGCCCAAGCAGCCAGTTAGTCCCTTTCTGAAATTTCTCTGACATTTCAATAGCCGCGATGAATTTAAATACATGAGTGTCGCGCACGGAACAGATGATACGAAAGACGCTGACAAGGAAACATTCCCAAGTGTCCGCCCCCGATCTTATTGATTTTCATACATGTTGAACAACACAAAAATCTAAGAGACACGTGTTTTTTTATATCTGCAATGGCCCGCATTTAAGGGGTGAAACAATCCCCCAAAGTTTGGCAAAAATTCGATTTGTATAATAATTTTCATAGAAGCAATGGAGGGATTTCAACGAAACTTGGTATAAACGTATTCTGTATAAGGACGGTGAAAACACAATATTGTCCAGCAATGCTACAACCCCCCAAAGGGGTGAACTACCCTTCAGGCGACATTTTTTTCTAATATCTATTAAACAAGCACTCCTACTTAAGTTCCACTTACGGCATATTATTGCTCACAAAAAATGAAGAAATACGTGTTTTTTGCTTTTTGCCAATTAACATTTACACATCTGTTGTAAACAATGAATGTAGGTGGTAAACGGGTATATTTCGACTAGCTACATTGGGTTATATCGTGACCAATTCATTGTACATAAATCTTGTGAACGTGCTAATTCCTCAAAATGTCGTTGATTTTCATAACATGCAATTATTTATAAATAAATTTAAAATAAAGTTTAAGAGACTAAAATAGTTTTGCAACAGATCCGATGACGCAGTCATCACCCGTTTCCAACTAGTAATACAATCTCCTTGGTGAAACGGTAAAATTTGATTTTTACTGTTTTTACGAAAATAGAATTAGCGATATTCGTTGTAGCATTGCTAGACAATATTGTGTTTTCACCGTCCTTATACAGAATACGTTCATACCAAGTTTCGTCGAAATCCCTCCACTACTTCTACGAAAATTATTATAAAAATTGAATTATCACCAAACTTTAGGGGGTTGTTTCGCCCCTTAAATGTGGACCATTGCAGATATAAAAAAACACGTGTCTCTTAGATTTTTGTGTTCTTCAATATATATGAAAATCAATAAGATCGGGGGCAGACACTTGGGAATGTTTCCTTGTGAGAAACTTAATCGACGTCGATAAAACAAAATTCATCTATACCCTTTTTGGCAGTAGTGCCGTTTTGAATACTCAAGTGGGAAAGTAAGCTGGCGCGTTCCGTTACCGATATTTATAATTATGTTGAAGTCCTTTAGAGTCTCCGTTGAGAATTACTCGAAATGAAACTTTCCATGTATCATTTCGGTGAAATAATGACGAAGACATCGACGAAAAACTGTCGAAATCTCGTAAATTCATTATTCCAACGACTGTTTAGGATCAACGTCGTCAAAATCCAACTTTTGAATGTGTCAGGACAATTCTTAGATGATCACGAGTCATGTGTCAAAGTTTCGGATAGTTCGGTCCAATACCCTTAAAAAAAAGTGTTGTATTCGAATCGACCGATTTGAAGGGCGTTTCACGTCACCTTAAAAGACTCGGCCATCTGAAACCAACTAAATTTCTGCGCAAATTACACATCGAGAAAACTTTTCTCGCATATAATCGCGCTTCGATTGAAAGTTTTTCATTCAGATCTCTAAATGAACCGTACCTACTGTACAGTGATTAATGTTGCTAGATTTTTAACCGTGTAAACACATCTTTTTTATGATGATAAACTCGCATTTGAACGGGATAGAGCCAAAAAGAGTGTTGTATGCGCTTCCATGCCAAAACGATGGGAATACGAGGTCTCGGAGTGAAAATTTAATTGACCTGGAAATCACAGATGGCGCAGGGTGTCCCTTTGCAGTCAATTATGGCCCCAGAAAGCATGAATCCAGAGGATTTTTTGAGTTTTACTTCAATTTCTTTAGAATTATTGTACGAAAACGACAGGTGGAGTGTGCCATTTGGTACAATACCCAATATAATTCGACACAGCTGTCAATATAAAAACGAACGTCGGCCACGTAGGCATTTAGAAAAATCTTCTTTATCGACGTCGATCAAGTTCCTCGACGTGTTTCACTTCACCTTAATATGAATGAGATTACCATTTTTTTTCAGTGGATATACGTACACATATATCGATTCGCCGACGGTGACGTTTAATTCGATCGGTCTGTTCGACGGTGGCAACCGTCGTCGTTAATTCGCTCCTTGTAAACGGATAGTAGGACAAGAGGACATTACGAGATTGAGTCTGGAAGTCGAGTCATTAAGTCACGGTAGAGCGGTCTTAAAGTTTCACCAACAATTAGTCGGAAGAAGGAGAAGTTTGTCGACTCATTGCAGAAGAGGCCCAAGCGGAAGTGGAACGTCCAACTTGTCTGCCCATGGAAAGGTGTTCCTGGGTCGATCACCTACTCACCCATTTGTCAGTTCTGGGTAAAATGGACAGCCATGAGTCATTCGGATCGTGACTCAAGCGCCGAAGGTCGACCAGACACCTATCCAATAATGGTGGACTCTTTTCGGATTTCGAGTGGTCAGCCCGAATTACGGCCACTTGGAAAAGGTTTCCATTTTTCGGGAAAAACGACACAGCCTATTTTATTGTTTAACACTAGGTTACGGTTTACTACAATTTGACGGAATTCAAACTTCGAAAAGAAATACCGAAAAAACCATAGCATTAATTTTAACCATTTTTGTATCACAAATTAATAATTTCATCCAAAGAATTTGTACACACAATTATTTTTTCCTAAGCCTTCTAGTTATTAAAATCTGTATGTAGTATACCTATCTCTACGAAACCCGTCAAATTGACGGACTAGCTAATTTCATAAACAATCCATATATTTGCTTCGTTGCAGTGAGTGTAAGGCGAAGATGAGAGTGAAAGTTTGCATTGAAAGTGGAGAGATAGAAGGATCTTCGGATAGTGAATAGGAAAACTTCTTAAAAATGTGTCGTAGCAAGAAAAGGATGCGTATTCTTTCTAGTTCTGACTCCGAGGATGAGAGGACGAGCATTCCAATCATTTCCGTGATAATTTTTAAAAAAGGACTTTTTACTTATTAATAATTCATTTAAACGTAAAGCCTAGTGTTGTTTAATACAGACTTAATTTGAATGAATCGATTTTTTAAAGAAAATGCGGGTTTTCGTTTACCCGCCAATTTGACGGGTGCTCGTAGAAATAGGTATATAAAAAACGCCCGTAAACCTAGGGTTAAATGTGCATTTGACCCGGTTCAATTCGCTGGAAAAATTATATTTCGGGCAGAAAATATGAAGTCGAGATTCCTATAGGTTCTCTGTCACAATTTGAAGTTGTATTCTTCGTAACTGGACATCGTGGACAGAATAAAAAAAATGCATTAATAGTTTCAGCATGGAGGTCATCATGAAAAATCATAAAATGTGGAAAATAAAATTTTAATAATATTCCTTGATTAGTGCAATTTAAGGCTTATATGTATTTAAGAAATACTTGTGTGCGATTTGCCAGTATATTACAAAAATTCATACGCCTACCAATACGTTTGGAATTATTTATAGCCTACCTCTCCTTAAGAAAGTGCTAAAAAATTCGAAAGGAGGGAATATATTACATCTCAAGGACTCGTCGGGATTCATAGGATTTGATGTTTCTTGTTTTTTCCTTAAAAAAGGTGTTCAACATCCCCTGTATTTTTACAAGGTCTTTCACAACACTCTTCCTTATTAATTCCTAATCAATGATTCAAGTAAATAGGATGAAAAAACATATTTACATGTCGAGAATTCGATACCACGACACCAGGACCAATTTGGCAAGATCGTGTTAAAAAATCATCCTTAAGGTGATATGATGAGGTCATTCTATATACATAAAGCGTGAAAATACTTATAAAACTTTTCTCCAAACAGGGTGCATCAAATAATTTGAAACTATAGCACGTGATTATGGAGGCCCTAAGGAAGAACGCGATGTTCGTGAAATGTCATTTTTCACTAAAAAATGTGGTCTTGATGAAATTTCATTTTTAAAAAAACCTTTCACATAAATTTTTTAATTTCACACGAAATTTCATTATCAAAAAATGCTCGTGAAATTTCATTTTTCAAAACAATGAAATTCCCCGAGCATCACGTTCTTCTTTAGGGCCTTCCTAATCAGGTGATAAAGTTTCAAATTATTTGCTGGATCCAATTTGGAGAAAAGACTGATCAATCTTTTCAGGTTTTATGTATATAAAATGACCCTTTCATATGTACCCATAATTATGAAAGTGGTCCAAGTCATATATTTTTTCTTTCGAAATTACATTGAATTAATTTAGTTTGAAATAATGTGGCGTGAAATAACTGATAAACTAATATTTTTCAATTTTGACTTAGATCACTTTCATAATTATGGGCACATATCACCTCAAATCGCTATACATCCTGCGTTTTCAACATAAAATGCCATCCCACCGGTTCGATTAGAAGTTCTTTCGCGACGCGTCTCTTTATCAAAGACTGGAGTAGATTAAGGGGGAAAAAAAGCGTATTACATGTCGAAGACTCGAAAACACGACGCGGGGACTCGCGACGTCGGCGAGGACCCTGAGGACTGGTTCGTTCAACGTACTCGGCATCATCCATTGGGTCGACAACTTGGCAACCGTGCGCGGGTATTTTCACCGTCTCTTTCCCACCTGAAAGGTAGAACGTTCCCGTGTCTTTGGCTTTCCTCCTCGCTCTTTCACTCACTCCTGATCGAGCAAACGTAAACCTGGTCTGCCCTGCCACTTCGGGCTCCGTTCTTGAATCAGTCGCTCCACCAACGGTCTTCGAGGTCGCACGCCTGCTCCTCCCGATCTCAAAGTTGGTCCTCGTGTGCCCTCCGGTTGTTAATAAACCCCGGACTCGACATTGAACATCTACCCAGGAATTACTCCACTTCCTGGACTCCAAGGATACTCTTCCCACGTAAGTCAGGAATTTCCGAATCCCATGCCTTGAATTTTACAAACACTTGTTTGTTGACATCGATGGGAACTTCAACGTGACGAGTTCGGAACAGTACATCCGTTTCTTGCTAGGATGTGTAGCACTCGATTCGTTAAGGTGATATGATCCCGGGTAAGCCGGGAATTTTCGATTTCACGCCTTGAATTTTCCAAACATTTGTTTGTAGACGTCGGTGGGAACTTCGTGACGAGTTCGGAATAGTACATTCGTCCCTCGCCAGGGTGTCTAGCACTCGATTTGTTATGGTGATATGATCCCGGGTAAGTCGGGAATTTTCCAAACATTTGTTTGTTAACATTGTTGGGAACCTCAACGTGACGATTTCGGAACAGTACATCCGTCTCTTGCCAGGATGTGTAGCACTCGATTCGTTAAGGTGATATGATCCCACGTGAGTCGCGAATTTTCGAATTCCACGCTTTGAATTTTCCAAATATTTGTTTATTGACATCGGTGGGAACTTCAATGTGCCGAGTACGGAATGGACATCAGTCCCTTGCCCTTAAGGTATCCTACTAAATCTAGGATGTCTAGCACTTGATATGTTAAGGGGATATGATTCCGAGTAAGTCGGGAATTTTCGAATTCCATGCCTTGAATTTTCCAAATATTTGTTTATTGACATCGGTGGGAACTTCAATGTGCCGAGTACGGAATAGACATCAGTCCCTTGCCCTTAAGGTATCCTACTAAATCCAGGATGTCCAGCACTTGATATGTTAAGGGGATACGGTCCCACGAAAGTTGCGAATTTTCGAATTCCACGCCTTGAATTTTCCAAACATTTGTTTGTAGACGTCGGTGGGAACTTCGTGACGAGTTAGAAATGGTACATTCATCCCTTGCCCTTGAGGTGTTCTATCTATTTCAGGAGGTCTAGCACTTAATTTGTTAAGGTGATATAAAAAGGTAATTCTATAAGTCAAAATGTGAAAATGCTTATAAAACTTAGCTCCAAACCGAGTCATTTGAAACTTCAGCATTTGATTAGGTACCAAGAATATCCTTTGAACTTCAGTCGCGCATTTTATGTCCTGATTTTTTCAGAAACTCGTTTAGTGGCACCGTTGGTAGACAATTTAAACTTCACGAGGTCGATGTAACGTCGGTTTATTAATTTTGTTTATAAACTTTGGAGTATGAGATTTACTCGAAGGACCAGCTAATTATTAGTACCAAGAATATCCTTTGAATTTCAGTCGCGCATTTCATGTCCTGATTTTTTTAGAAACTCGTTTAGTGGCACCGTTGGTAGACAACTTAAACTTCACGAGGTCGATGTAACGTCGGTTTACTAATTTTGTTTATAAACTTTGGAGTATGAAATTTACTCGAAGGACCAGCTAATTATTAGTACTAAGAATATCCTTTGAACTTCAGTCGCACATTTCATGTCCTGATTTTTTTAGAAACTCGTTTAGTGGCATCGTTGGTAGACAACTTAAACTTCACGAGGTCGATAATTTGTTTATAAATTTTGGTGTACGAGATTTACTCGAAGGACCAGCTAATTATTAATATCAAGAATATCCTTTGAACTTCAGCCGCGTATTTCATGTCCTGATTTTTTTAGAAACTCGTTTAGTGGCACCGTTGGTAGACAACTTAAACTTCACGAGGTCGATATACTCGTAATGTCGGTTTAAGTGGCATCGTAATTAAGCTAACGAGTGACGTAAATACCTTCTACGTGTTGATCGTTGTGGTTTACCTGTCGGTCATTTATAGAAGCTGAATGAACTGAATTTCATCGCTACTAAATAAAGGGAGAAAGGTTTAAGACCTTGTAGCAGGAAATAAATTTGCAATTGCATAAGATCGTGCGAAACGTCGCGTTCAACGTTGATACATCGTAATACATACCCTAGTAGCACAAAATATTTGCCCTATAGTTTCTATATATTTAACGAATATCGTACATTTTGTAAATATTTAGCAGACATTTGAAGTATTTGCGAAACGTTTACTTTAGAATATTATCTCTATAATATTGATATAATATTACCTCCATGTGTTTTCATAATATTTTTCTACCAGATATACAAAACATTTCGTTTCAATTAATTTAAGTATTTTTTAAATATTATCTGCCGAATACATTATAAACATTTTAAATATATTTAAAATCAAATTCACACGTTTTGCTCCCATGATGAAATATCGGAACGAAACTATTATAAAAATTTCTAAACTATTAGAAAAAATTGTTTTTTATTACCAAATGAAGTGTCCGAAAATAGTCGTGAAGTAAAAAATGTATTTTTATTACGTTAATAAGTTAAAAAATATAGTTTCTCTAAATGTTTATAAATTATTGAAATTAAATATGTCATTGAGATTTACAAGAAATATTTCAAATATCTTCATTCAAATGAAATCTACAAGAAATCTTAAAAAATCTGTCGCTTGCGATATTTAGCAAAGATTATAAAGAAATATTTAGACATTATTCAATGCTACTAAGGTAGTCGTTTAATCAATAGGCCACTAATTCCGAAGTCTAGTCGTTAGTCGGACGTATTTACTGATTACGTCAAGAATCACTGTGCATGACTTCGATTTAAAAAAAAAACTTTTTCTTGGCGGTTTTAATTTAACGATGTAAAATCGGTATTCGATGATTCAGATTTTCATGAAATAAAACGCGAGAAATTCTGAGTCGTTAAAAGTAAATGGCATTCGATCTTGCTTACTCTCATCCTTATGGTGGAGTGACACCCTCCTAAAATCAGTCGATTCCAATAAGACAGTTTTTTTAAGGATATTTAATACAACAGTTTGAAAGTTTGACACATGACTCGTGGGCACCTAGAATTTATCTCAACGATTTCAAATTTTGGATTTTCTGAACGAATTTTGTTAACTTAGCCCAGACCAGAACCAAAATGGCGTCGAGCTCTCATATTTCGATCAATCTACAATTATCGAAGGCTCTGATATGAGAAACGAAAGAGTCAGGAGAATTTTACGACAATTTAGAACACTCTGGTAATCGATAAATTCGCATTTGAACGGGGATATAGGCAAAAAAAAGTGTTTTATGCTCTTCAATGCCAAAACGATGGGAAAACGAGGTCTCGGAGTGAAAATTTAATTGACCTGGACATCACAGATGGCGCAGGGGGTCCCTCTGCAGTCAATTAGGGCCTCAGAAACCACGAATCCATAGGGTTTCTGGAGTTTTACTTCGATTTCTTAATAATTATTGTACGAAAACGACAGGTGGAGTATGCCATTTAGTACAATACTCAATATAATTCCACACAACTGTCAATATAAAAACGAACGCCGGCAACGTAGGTATTTAGAAAAATTCTTTTTTCCCATGTCCTCGACGTGTTTCACTTGACCTTAAGACAGCTGTTTTCCGTCATTGGAATAACAGGAAATATATCGATTATGTAAGGTAACAACGATCCGGGTGTCAGTATCGGTTTCCCTCCTGATCTATCGTCAACATCGACGCGAAGATGCGCAAGAACTCAGCAACGAGTTCGGCGAATTCTCTCATGGTGGAGTGCTAGAACGGAAACAGGTAATCCCTCTATCGGGCCTATCTAATCTCGATTAACGACGGCAGAAGTCAGAGTGCAGAACCGCATCGGCTGTGAATTTACGAGCTGCAATGCGTTGCAGCATGCACGTGCAGCTGCATCTCTTAACGAGTTATGCCGCGCGAGTTTCCCTATTTGCTCGGAAAATTTGCCAGAGGATTGATTTAAACTCCGACAACCGCAGATATTAAAAAGGACGGGATTTTGAGTTATACTGGCCCCGGTATCGGCAGCCACCCAATATCGTTGAAAAAGAAATCAAACAATAAAAGCGAATAATTGAAATACACGTCGATTCGAATTTTGGGATGGCTGAAATGCATATCGAGATGTTTGAGATCGAATGTAGAGGGTAGAACAAAAATGAGTTTCATTTTATATTTCGTGTTATTTGTCGACGGTCAAAGTGTGGAAGTTGAAATTTTGCAGGTGATAAACTAAGGATTAGGGATTTTGTGTAAATGTAATCATGGGAAATGCAACGATATCCAGGTATATATAAATGTTTCAAAAACGAATGTAGAGGGTAGCCCGAAAATGTGTTTCATTTTATATTTCGTGTCATTTGTCGACGGTGAAAGTCTGGAAGTGGAAATTTTGCAGGTGATAAACTAAGGATTAGGGAGTTTGTGTAAATGTAATCGTGGGGAATGGAACGACATCCAGGTATATATAAATGTTTCAAAAACGAATGTAGAGGGTAGAACAAAAATGTGTTTCATGTTATATTTCGTGTCATTTGTCGACGGTCAAAGTCTGGAAGTTGATAATTCTGCAGGTGATAAACTAAGGATTAGGGAGTTTCTGTAAATGTAATCGTGGGAAATGGAACGATATCCAGGTATATATATATGTTTGAAAAACGAATGTAGAGAATAGCCCAAAAATGTGTTTCATTTTATATTTCGTGACATTTGTCGACGGTGAAAGTCTGGAGGTTGAAATTTTGCAGGTGATAAACTAAGGATTAGGGAGTTTGTGTAAATGTAATCATGGGAAATGGAACGATATCCAGGTATATATAAATATTTGAAAAACGAATGTAGAGGGTAGCCCGGAAATGTTTCATTTTATATTTCGTGTCATTTGTCGA